CTGCAGCCCTGCCCCCCTCCCAGCACTGCCACTGCCTGCCCCAAGTGCAGCCCAGCCCAGCCCAACCCTCTGCTGGGAGGAGCCTGGCACCGCCCCGGCAGCGTACCCTCGCCCCATGCAGATCTGGGGGCACAGGCCCCCCATGTCCTTCTGGGGTGCGCACAGCAGCGGTAGCCACCCCCCTCCCCGTGCCCCTGGACAAGCCTTTCGTGGCTCCATCCTGCACCATCCTGGCTGGGCAGCACCTGCCCCAGCCACAGTCCCACTCCCTCCCTCACCACAGGGGCCTTGATCTGCCCCAACCACCACCCCTGCCCTCGACCCTGCCCCTTCCCCCACAACAGACTTACCAGCTGGACCCGCATATCGACTATTGGATCGGTATCAGCCGATATGGCTCCTTAAAAATCGGCCATTGGTATCGGCCCCAAAAATCTCTATTGGTGCACCGCTAGCTGCAGGGGCTTTTACCCGTCCTGCTTCTAACACACATTGCTACACCGGCAGAAATGTTATAGCATGGACCTAGCCTGAAGCACAAATGGATAAATGACTTGTTCCAGTCATGCAGCCAGTAGCATAGCTGGAAAAAAAAAAGGCTTGGTGTCCAGTTGCCCTGTCCCCCACCACGATGGTGAGAGTGTGCTGACATGATCCCTGCTGTATTGGAGAGCTGACACAAGAGTGTAAGGGCCTCAACTGTGCATGGGTGGGTCTTTGTGCACGTCCACACCCAAGCGGCCCTTCTGCTTATCTTCCCCTTTCTGTTGCAGATCGGTTGGTTTCCTTCGACCTATGTGGAGGAGGAGGGAGTGCAATGAGTCCCAGGTCTCTGACAAAAGACGCCCAGAAAAAGCCGCTGCAGACTGTGCACAGTTGTCCCAGCACCCAGGGCTCCAAGTGAAATGCAATCAGAAATCTTCCAGTATTACCAACAGCCACCCTATTACGAATTCTTCTGCAATCAGTCCTCTGTACAGTGTGTGTGCGTGTGTGCGTCGGGGGGTGCCACTGGCTTCCGGTCCTTGGTTGGGTTACTTGTATATAAGATTTATAGTCTATCGGGTGTTTGTGTGACAGCAGAAGTGACCTGGGAAAGTCGCTCTCAACAGCCTAGACGAAGCACCGAGAGGCTCAATGCAGCTGTGGCCAGAGACATTCTCCAAGCTGGTCTTATCAAGGGTGTTTCAGAAGCCACCGTGGTGTTGGCAGGAGGATGGGACAGGGTGGCTCCTGGACTGATGCCGGGAGTCGTGGGGGAATGCTTTCAGATCTCTGCTGAGAGGGAGCGAACTGACACCCCTTGCTGCTTGAATGGACTCTGCTGGATACTGGTTTCTCTGGGCAGGTTGGTACGTCGTGGCAGAGCCCACTAAGTCTGCTGGCGACGGGAGGAGGTGGGGGGGGATGAAGGCACCGCAACCTGCTGCAAGGAGACTGCTCTCATTTGATGCCTGTATGGATCTAGGGAAGGAGTTTTTTTTAACAGATAAGGATGAGTCTGAAGCCAAACGACAGAGCTGGGCACACCTACCTGTTAGCAGAGACCCCCTTATTTTGTATCACATGCCCTTTCTCTTAAGGCTAACTTTGGTCCCAGTAAGCTCACTCAGGGCAGAGGAGAGACGGTCCTTTGTGGTGACGGCCACATCTGGATCAGGAGGTCTGGTCGCATTGCAGGGCTGGGGATGTGCCTTCCCCAGGAAGAGTTTTTGCAAATCATCAGTGACATGAGGGATGGCACATGTGATAATAGATACAAATGTGCATCGTTTGCTCCAGTGTGTCCGCCGCTCTCATAGCCTATCTACCTTTCCTATTCCTAACAAGGATATATGTAAGCCACCCCACCAAACTAACGGCCTGTTCTTGCAGCCATTATGGCTCATTGAGCTCAATGGGGCCTACTCGGTAGGTGAGGGCTGTAAAACCAACCCCCAAGTTGCACAAAGCCGATGTTAAACAGTCTCTCCTTTGGCCACCATTTGGCATGACGTACTTTGCCCACCTCCCAGCTGTTCGTTGCTGTGAGTTAGAGAGAATCTGTGTTTCCCTTTCATGTTGTCTCTCTCTCATTGCTTTTGTGCCCTGAATGATGTTCATCCCCTCCCTTGCTTTCCACGTGGCGACCCTTTTCAGTTGGCGAGGAGGATGGTTGAGTGGAGTCCGCTGCAAGAGACTTCTGCCCTTTGGTCCCCAGACCAGAACGTCCACCCGAAGTGCACTCATGCAAAACCACCAACAAGAAGCAAACCCCAGGGATGTCATTTGAAGTGCCCTTTTGCGTGTTTGCTTCCTTTCCTTCAAGGTGTTCAGCAGCCCCATACCTTGTAACTTTGCTGCTGAGCTCTGTCTCTGGGCAAGATTCTTCTGTCATCAGCACCGGTGTAAATCCAGAGGAGCTGCCTGCATGAGATGTATGCAAGACCTATGCAAGGGTATGTCTCTCTCCTGCAGTGCACCGCTGAAGTCCTGCCTGTCGTGACAGAAGAGTATAGAGATCTTACCTAGCCGTTTTGCAAGCGCTCCGAGTATTATCTGGGGAAGAACAGCAGACGTTGTGCTGCCAAATTGGGATGGAAAAGCCATGAGGAGCATTCTGTGACCTTGCCAAGGAGGAAAACTGAATTAACTTTGAAAATGAGCTTGCTGTTAGCTTGGGACAATAGTCTGGTCTCTTGTTTCGACTCAGTCCTTGGGTTTTCATTCTTCTCCTGCATTGGGTCTTGGACTGAGCTTGCTCACCAGCTGCTCAGTACTCCTTGTGCCAAAGCTGCCAGTGAACCTCTCACATTGCACTGTATGGGTTAGAAACTATTTCCCAATTGAACTGTGCCCCTGCTATAACAGACTCATTCAGATGGCTGCTGCCCAAATGCCACCATCCGCAGACCCCTGCTACCAGGCGGGCATTATCGTTTGCATGCAACCAAGTGCATCTTGCTCTGCCGAGTGAGGGCCAGGACCAAGCGGTTCGATGGCATTTCCAGTGGTTTTATGAAGGTCATTCCTTGGTGCTAACCTATTCCAATCCAGCTCAGTTCATTTGAGTTTTAATTGTTTGCCAGTCCTGTATCTTTGCCTTTCATCATCTCAGCCTACCAATATTGAAAGGAGACGCGGCAGCACTTTGGAGAGGGGAAAGTGTAAAGGAGACTCAGGGAAGTTAAGTGCTCAGCTCTTACTGAATATCAATGAAAGCACGTTGAATTTCAGTGCGAGTTGGACATCCATTTCCATGAAGCACCGTTGACATTTCCAGCCTACAAGCCACCCATTTCCAAGCTGACTAACAAGTCTGGGTGCCCCACTTAAGACCTTATTTTTTTCCCCAAAAGTGCTGAGCAGCAGCCCTTGAGAAAGGAAAACCCCTTCTAGACATCAAAGCAATCCAGAATCATTTTTGCAAATGCAGGCCTCTCTAATCCTGTGTAATTGTGAGCAGACCCCATTCTCTAATAGCCACAAAGAAAATGGATCAGAAAGAAGAAAACCCAAGGGGATGCATTTATGCCTTGGGTATTTCCTGAGCCTTTAGGTGACCCCAATGACTATTATTTCACATGCAAAGAATCATGTTGTGAGGGAGCATGGAAGGTGAACCCCTCTCAAACACCGTATGCCCTTCTATCGCCGGGATCAGAAGAGCCCTCTTTGTACTGTGCAGCACGTCGGGTATCGTCATCAGCTCCCAAACGATGCAATTCATACACGCTCTGCCTACGACCGAGTGACTCCCCTTACTCTTGCCCAGCACAAGATCAGTCATTCCTCAGAAAAGTCTCTCGTGTTTACTGTTGTAAGAAACTTGTTAAAAAGAAATTTTTTTTTGTTTGTAATTATTCAGCCGATCGCCACGATATATATCTGTGAATAAGAAGGGAAAATGTTTTTTATGATGGTGAGAAAATTGTATATATATTTTAGTTCATCGCAAAACATTCGGAGTTGTAACGGGATACAGTGGAAAATAATATGTAAATTCCTTGATTTTTTTTTTTTTTTTTCCTTTGCACTAACTGGGATCGGAGGGGCGGGGAGAGGGGATCTAAAAGATAAAAGGGTTGTTTATGGAATAGTTTATAGTGGGGAATTTGGAAGTCATTTGGAGTAGCTTGTTAATGCTGGAATAGAAACTTTAGCTGCTACTTAGAAACCCTTTTGCATGTGGTTTTTCCAGATCTTTTTAAGTTACAGTACATCCAAGTAAATTCCACAACAAAAATAAAATGTAATTTTCTTGATACAATTTTTTTTCCAACCATGGTTTTTACTGCAAATAAACATACATTCTTTTCTGCCTAAGAGGATCCATTTCACCCTGGACTTTGTTTCTCAACTCCTTTTTTTGGGTTCAAGTGCTTTGGAAATGTGTTACCAACGGGATTGGGCTCCTCGCCCATTTGCTCTAGTATCGTGTCTTCACGGGGTGCCAATGCCAGCATCTTCAGAAGATGATAGAGTGGTTCCCAGTGAAATGACCTGCCTACAAGGAAATTGTTTTTGACCCCGATCAGTTCAAAGTTGGCTTATGTCGTGAAACATGAGAGTTCATACCCTTTCCACATGTTTTACTATATATTCTTGCTCAAATGCTGGATGTTCCTGTTCTCCCATGAAGCAACCAATCCTTTTTTCACAGCCGGCTGTGCTGTGACAGCTAACTTTTTCCTTCTTATCCACCTACGAACAGTTTCTAATTTCTTTGTGAATTCAGAAGGAGGGTGAATCATCAGTGACATCACGTCTCCCCCTTTTGAATCTCGTCTAAGCAGTCAACTTAGTTCGACCAGTCCCACTGCACGGCATTTCCCCTCGCAGGTGATTTTGCGTTGCCGATGTGCAGATAGGGCATTTGTTCATATATGAGACAGGTTCTAGCATTGCTGGTCTTTGCTGAAAACCCACTCGGATCCCATACAACGGCATTCCCCCATCTCTGCAAACAGTATCAAATGTGCACCCCTCTAAAGTGCATATATTAATCATAAATCATTCTGGAAAATAATATCCCTGTTGCTTTGTTCAGTCCTCTGACTGTCCTGCAACAGCTGTTGAGCTACCGACTTGCATGAGCAGGGAGCATTTGCTGGGGGCAGCAGAATGCAAGTCGGTGGCATGTCCCTGTGTTAAGTCATGAAATGCGATTCAGGACCAGCGTATAAAGGCTCGACACGATGACTTGTTCAATGAATGACCGCACAGGCTATATTTTTACTACAAGCATTCCCTGTTAAATGAGCCTAAAGCAAAGCAAAGCCTGGTAGATTTAGCTGTAAAAGTGATGCTATCTCACCGATGCAGGCAAAGAAGTGGTCTCGGTCTTGTTCGCGTGGATGTGTTCACCAGAAGAGCAGCTGGGCGCAGCAGCCATTCTTGTCCGAATGATTTTTCATTCTCGAAGCGCGTCTTGTTAGCTCTTTTGTTCGTCTTGTATACCCTTTCACTCCAGGTTTTCAAAGCTTTTTTGTAACCAAGTAAAAGAAAAGCCCAAGCAATAAACAGGAAGGTCCTGTTTTCAACTGTTCATTCTTTATTATCGGAAAGGCCCAGTTTTGCCTGAGTTGCCTTATTCAGTAACAGGAGGTTATCAATCTCTACTGAGCTGGAGCATATCAGGAAATAGATGAACGACCGGGAGAAACACAAAGCCTTTCTAAAGAGTTGTCCTTGGACGATCAAGGGAACCACTGAATAAATCAGGTGGAGACACTTATCCAAGCCCAGATGGAGAATGTCTCTTCCTGCACATAAACACGAGTTATTGAAAAGAAATATTTACTAATTAATCAAGGATAGACATTTCACACAGTTGCATACCAGACACATAGGAGTCTGCTTAAAATCATCATAAATATAGTAAGAGAAGCTGGAAGTGATGCCTCGTTATTTCTTATCCAAAGGTCCAGCCGTGAAGTTGCATCCTCTTGCACTATGAAGTTGTCGTGGATATTTTAACTTTGGTGAGTGGATCCGCCTGAGCTTGAGTTTCACAGTCATCACCTGCTGCCAAGTTTTTGTAGGGGTGGGGGGCATGGCAAAAGATGCTTTGCAGGCAGATAGGGGTCAACCCCACTTTCAAGTTTGCTTTGAGGGATCCTTTGCTGGCTCCGCAGCCATTGTCACCCTGTTCTGTGGACTGGCCTGGCCAGCTGTGCAGTAAATGCAGGCCCATACAGCTCCATCGCTCGCTCAGGATCTTGGCACTCTCCCTTACAACATGAGAATCCTCCATCCCCTTGAGCTGATTCTGGCATTCCCGCAATGCCAGCTTATAACACACAAACCAAGCAAGAAGTGCAGTGCACTGTGCGGTGCATAGAAGTGGCACCACCCCATCCCGAGGCAAGGAGAAGACACCCCCATGCTCCATCCCTGACGACCTGCATCCTCAACACTCAGCCAGACTCGAGCCAGACTGCGGGGAACAGATGTTTTCCCATCGAGAACATGCAACTTGTTGCCAGAAGTAAGAAATGCCCTTACCCTGGAAGCGCGCACAGGTAAGCACTAAACCTGCTTCTCAGTCTAAGCTTTCCCCCAGGGGTATCTTCAGTCCTAAGCTCCTTGAACACCCCTTCATCCCCCAGCCTTGGCTTCTCAGTGGCAGTGAAGCCATGCTACACTCCCGGGAAGCATTCAGAGAGGACGGTGCAAGTACCGACCCTAAGAGAATGGCTCCATTTTTAAGCAATGTGCTGGGGGTTATGTAAGGGTGGAGATGGGAGGTAAAGGGTGGAGTGGGAGCGGTGTTACCCACGTTGGTTGGCATCGTGGACTTCATAGAAGATTTTGAATGGGGAGAAGGAAGAAATCTGACTTGCTGGGAGTTTCTGATGGATGGAACAGAAGGGATTCCTCACTTTTCACAGCCAGAGCTGTGGATACTGGGCACCGGAGCAGTAATCACCGGAGCCTGTTTATTCAGCTTGGTGGTTATAAGTGAGACAAGGTGGGAGCAATAGCAACTTCCAGCTTGACCAGGACAAGCCCAGGCCCCTGTTCCTGGACATGGTGGTGCCTAGGCTAACAAGCAAACACAGATTTTGCTGGTTAGGGCTGTCTCCTAGTCGGCCTGTGATCAGCAAACAGTGGGTCCCACTTCAAGGCAAAGCGAGCCCTCTCTGCGGCACAGCTGGAACAGCCACCGGCTCGGGTTGCTGAGTAAGTTCCTCCCTCTGCCTCAAACACGCCCCGCACATCTCTTCTCCACTCAGCGATCTGCGTGCAGCCACCTCCCCCACTCTTCTGTATTAGCAAGCAAGAGTGTAAAGCACAATGAACTCATGCAGGCCGACCATGAATGCTTGGAAAGGTTGCTGACTGGACCTGCACAGCTGAGAGGGACAGGGGCCTGGGAAATCATTGCATTGCAACCTGGCCGCACCTGGGCACTCTGGAGACACATACTGGGCCAGCCTGTGCAGAAGCACCTCCATCGCTCCTAGCCAGCGATCTCAAAGCACTGTACAGCGGTGGGTGAATATTGCTAACCCTCTTTTAGAGATGGGGAAACCGAGGCACCAACAAGGGGAGTAGCTGGCCAAAGCACCTGAGTCTCCTGGCTCCTGTTCCAAAGGATTAGAGGCGCTGTTGGAAGCTGCTTGAGCTCTGCTTTTCTTAGGCCTGGATCAGGCTAGCCCAGCGCACTGGGGCAGAGGGACAGGCGCTCCAGCTCTGGCCGTGGTCATGCTGCCATGCATTGCCAGCCTCATGCATCTTACAATGAGCTGCAGTTTTGTATCATGCTCAACTATTTTCCATGTCTGCTTTAGCCATATGGTTTTGCATGACCTAGAAAACTCCCTGCCCCTCTTTACAAATCGTTTCCTTCTCTGATTACCGGCTTGTTTTCTCCTATGTAGAAATAAGTGAACTGGCTTAGGCCCTGTCTACACTAGACTGATTGCCAACAATTACCTGTAATTTTTCCCACCCAGGGTGCCTCCTTTAAGCACACATTGGTGTGAGAGCACCAGAAAACACACTCACGTGGCACCTAGATTGGCTCTGAATTGCATGAGCATCTTCAGCTGCTATCACACATACCTTGGGTTGTATGGTCTTCCATAGGCAGTCACCTCTAAACACAGTGTGGGGCAGATTATACTCTGCTGCTCCAATTAATCTCTAGATAGCAATATATTTAGCAAATGGAAACCCTAGAAGCATAACGGAGCAGGGGAGTGGGGTGGTTCTGAGGATCAACCCGAGCCTTGTAGGTTATTATCTGTATCGAGCCCTGGATCACTTTTTGGCTGGCGTCCCTCCTGTGAATGCATCTCCATTGCTACATAGGCTTTCCTCTCAGTGTCCTACTGGCTGGCAAGATATAGGGCCTCCTATAGGTTATTGTATATTGTTTCTCATTTTTGGAGAAGGGACCAGAATATCCTAGTGGCCAGTGCACCAGACTTGGAGTCGGCTGTGCTCTGTACCTGTATCTCCAGTTCCCCAGGCCCTTCTCCAACGGGGCTCGGTCCTCACACACAACTAGTGATAAACCCCCTTTGGTCGGGGGGATGCTGAACAAAACGGGAGATCTAGATATCTATGAAATGCACCAGTTGCGGGGGGTGGACTCCCATCTTTCGACTTATCCGCTCAGGCTCGATTCCAGTTAAAAACTCAGCTCTGAGTCGCACTTTAATTTCACTCTGCTAAAATGTCCAGGGCATGAGGGGTAATTTAACAGCAGGAAAACTGCATTGACGGTTCCAGTGTGACTCTTATTTCTTGTATTCCCTTTATGGCAACAACAGATGGCGGGGAGCTGAATAACTCACATAGCTCTGGGCAAGCCTGGGGGTGCTACGTTGGACGCCTAACCTGGAAAAGCTGTGGGTTCAGTTCCCATCTGAGCTCTTTGGTATATATTGTGGTGTGATCAAAAGGAGTGCAGACTGGGTCATTTTAATAGGCATTTTCCATTTTTAACCTCTCTGATCTTTGTCAGGCTCTGCGATTGAGGACGGTGCCACATCCATCTGGTATGTGTGTGTGTGTGTGTGTGTGTGTAAGGAGGCATGCCGAGCAGAGCTGCCTGATAGGGAAGCCAGCACATGCTCCCCTGCCTTCCCATCTGGACTCTGGGAATAGTTGTAGCTGGCCAGCAGTTTGGCTACGGTTTTCTCAACCCCTGGTTAATGTTTCTGTGGCAGCGGAGCCTGCGTGTCAGAGCAAGCGAGCCACACTGACAAAGGAAGGCGGCAAGAACTGAACAGCCCTCTGCCCAGGTAAAGGGATCCAGCTGTTTCTAGCAGCAGTGCCAGGAAGCTGGGCTTGCAGGGCACAGCCGGGCTGGCTGAGCAGAGGGGAA